TCAGTCCAATTCTCAATGACTTTACAGATTGGGACCACATCTTGGTTTGACGGGCTCTAGGTACAAAATAATACTCTCAAAATGGTCTTTATTCCTTTATTTACTAACAACTGAATATTGATGTGATTGAATATGTTAATTGATGCATTTATTTAATATCAGATGATCGTTAGTTGATTGAATCTCTACTCAGATCATTTGGGATGGATCAGTTTACTATATTGATCGGTTTTGGATGAAACATTATTGCACATTCAATGAAGAATCATGTGCACAAATTATTATTAGTTGGCATAATCATTCATTGTGAAGTTGCCAAGTGTTCACCTACACGGTTAGGCTTGAATATAATAATGTGATTGGTTTGCCAACCGGTTACTAGGATCGTTGATGTGACTCATTTACTAAGTAGAGATTTATGTACTTGGTTTCAATGCACATTGTTTGTACGAAGGTTATTGTTATTACTACCTAATTGCCTAGTCTGAATTAAGTGGTAATCTATGATTCGAACACGCTATTTTAGTGAACAATAGTCGAGTGATTCTATCAATAAGTTGTCATTTTAATGAAGTTGTAATAATAATTTTATTACTGTTCTCTGAGGTAACTATTCTGAACTACAAATGCAAGTGGAAACAATCTTAGGTTACATAACGTAATTTAGTTTACTCTATACAAACTTATGATTTTTTTGACAATTTCACTGTTGTCATCAATATATCAACATAGAAAGTCGATGATAACTGTTGATTGAAACTAAATTTTCTTACTTAAATATATAAAGAATGGTACAAAGAGGCACCAAATATATATGCGTCACATTTTGTTATTCGATTTGTATGAGGTCTGAAATACTTCCTGGGTCCACTGACCGAGACAGTTGGTGTTCTAAGGGGGCCATCCCCTAAACCTTTGACCTAGTGGTCTAATCTACAAAGTAATTGGGCAACGTTAGGAAATTCAGTCCCATGGTAGCCTATGACCAACAATAGGTTCATATGTCGCCTCATTATGCTTGAGTTTATATGCACCGTTAGTTCGAAATCAGAGTTTTCCAACCCCGACCCTGTTAAAGCGCCAGAAACTCACTTTTCGTTTTCTCATTTTCGTAAAGAATAACCACGCCAAGAGAAGTCATTGAGTAGGATTTTCCTATCAGTAGCTGTTCACGCGTGGCCATTTGAGAGGGATAACAGACTCTCCACACCCTTGGCCGTAACAGGGCATTTGGTAATGTAAACGTTTCATCACGATTTAATGCCACTGGAAAGTACCATGCAACATACATTAAACGACAGTTGTGTTTATTTATTGCCTTCAAATGCCCTGGTACGTCCGAGAGTGGGGAGAGTCATCTCGAAATGCTCTCACATGGCTCTGTGCATACAACCACTACCAGAGGATTCCTACTCACTGTCTTCTCTCGGTCAGGGTGTTGTTTACGAGATTGAGGGGACGAAAACCAAATGTCTGCCACTTTAATCGGGTTAGTGGACACGGAGAGTCCACCTAGATGAGTTGGAAAACCTTCATCCCAAACCAGTGGTGCACATGGGCTGGCTCCAGGATCCTGAAGGAACAAATGGTGTATGAACCAATCGTTGGTCACTGGCTATCATATGACTGTATCTCCTGACGTTGCTCTACTGCCTTATGGATCACACCTTTAGGTTGAAGGCTCTGTGTATAGCCCCCTAAGAAACCCACCTGCTTCGGTTTGGGCACCCGAGCAGTATCACAGCCCTCATACAAATCGAATAATTCATGTGGCACATATCTGTTTGATGCCTCCTTGTATCAATTGTTTATATGTTTAAATAAATAAAATTTACTTATTTATCTAAATATCTGGTTTTATTTCGATTCCATTGTACATACAGATTGTACTTCAGATCAAATTTATGTAAAAAAAAGAAGAATTACAAAGACAATCTCTATTTATCAATCCATTCAAAGAAGAAAAACACTGATCAATGATAAATGGGTTAACATTTTTTTGACATTTGTCAATATTGTAAATAAATTTATGAACAGAAAAAAACTGGGTGTTTTTTGTTTGTTTTCTTCTATTCACAATGAATAGTAACTAGGTGAAATGTGTTTCTTGAAGACTTTCTAGTTTAAACTGTAGGTTATGAACAAAAGTCGATGAAAGCGCCATAGAAACTGTTTTACCTGGATAGTATTGGAAGATGATCTGTTCGAATATATGGGCCACTTGTTCCTGTCATCTAAAGATTTCAACAAGTTATCTGTTTTCTTGTTTGTTTTTAACAGATCATTATGTCTATTAGTTTCATAACCTATTCAGTTGGGTTTGTGAAATTTCGCACAACGTTTCGTTGTACAAGTTAGAGAAGAACACAGTCAAAGTCATTGTTTTACCTGTTGATATGCATTGAAAAGAATACACATTCTTGACATATCGATTCCTGAACTGCTGACATCTAATTAGCGACCACTCAATATTTACCGTCTGGATCGATCAAGAAATAAGAAACGTAAACCTGTTGTAATACCTCGTACTGAGAACTCTATATTATACCACCAATCGGTTCATGATTTCCATGACATACATATATAAACTGTTTACAAACCTCAACTCATGAGGATAAATGCGTCAGTATGTCTGGAACCAGAATGGCTTCTTCTAATGATTACTTAAAGTTTGGTTACAACACACGATAATGTAAATGACAGCTAGTGGCCGTGTCTAATATTAATAATAATTATAAATAACCGAACTAGGAACTAACAGTATACAACTATGGTACCTATTGTGTTTAAACGACGATCCACAGAATATACAGAAACGTGCATTATATCATACGTTCGGATATTAGAAATGTGATTATAGTAGTATAAAGCCATAAAAATAAATGAGAATTAAGATAATGTAAACGAAATTAACAAAATATGTTTATCTACTATGATCGTAATTTCATTTCAGAAATATTCAGGATTTACCGTTCATTCAGCTTGACTATTAAAAGGATATTTTGGTAAACTGATATATTAATAGAGTGTATACTTTAGTTACTTAGCAATGAAATATGTGTTTATCGATCAGACTTGATTTGGTTCAGTAATTAGTTTTACTCTCGAGAAACTTCTAAATGATATATTGCATATTTTCATCTGATATAAATCCTCTTAGCACTTATAAATGAGATGATATCAGTCTTAAAACATCAGTGGTAAAAGAAAGGCATTGACTAATATTGTAATTCGTCATATCTGCGTTTCTGCACCTGCTTTGGTCTGGGAACTCGGGCAGTATCACAGCTCACACACAAATCAAGTGACTTGTGTGGCGCATATGTATTCGGTGACCCTTTGTACCAATATTTATGTGTTCAAATAAATCTCCACAAAGTAATGACATATAATATGAGACGTTTGAATGACATAACACTAAGGATATGTGACATACATATGGGTATGCATTCATCAACGCCCCAAAATGCCCTGGTACGGCCGAGAGTTGGGAGAGTTCGCTCTCCCTCTCCAAATGCTCTCACACGGACACGCGTATATATCCTCTGCCAGGGAAGTCCTACTCACTACCTTCTCGTGGCGGGGGTGTTGTCTACGAAATTGAGAAGACGAAAACCAAATGTCCGGTGCTTTAACCGGGTCGGTGGACACAGAGTCCACCTAGGGGAGTTGGAAAACGCTCATTCCAAACCAATGGTGCACATGGGCTGGCGCCAGTATCTTGAAGGGACAAATGACGTATGAACCAATTGTTGGTCACCGGCTACTATGTCACTGCATATCCTTACGTTGCTCCACTGCCTTGTGGATCAGACCTTCAGGTCGAAGGTTCCGAGTGTGGCCTACTAAGAAAACCACCTGCTTCGGTTTGGGCACTCGGGCAGTATCACAGCCCTCACCCATATCAAATGAGATTTATGTGGCGCATATGTATTTGGTGCCTTCTTGTACCAATATATGTGTTAAAATAAATAAAGAAATAGTATGCATTCATCACATACAATTCATTCTGAGATTGTGTTCGACTTCGTCAATTACCTACTCCACAAATTATTTATTCACTATAACACTAAACTTTAGCCGTGAAAAATGTTTTTTTGACAAAATCCATTTCGTATTAAAATAGAATGGAAAGTTTATAAATTTGATTCACTTATGGACAGCTTAACTTCCATGCTTCTTCGATATTAAAATTTTTCGATCTAACCAACTCAAAAGCCATAAGTTTCATTTCACAGAAAAGTTTGCTTTCTAATGAAATTCGAACAAAATATGAAGTGGTAGGTAGGTGGTTCCTTCATTATTTAAGAAGACAAACGCCCATAAAAAATGTTCTTTCAGTCTTAACCTGTCTGGGAAGTATCATCGATGAACAAGGAAGATTGCATGCAGACATAAAGGTAAGGATTGGCATAGCAAGCGCCATCCTTACAATTGAAGAACACATGAAACTCAAAACAACTGTCAACCTATATCAAAGTCACAATCTTCAATACGAATGTCAAGACAGTTAGTTCTACTGTATGGAGGTGAAACGTGGAGAATTACGACAACCATCATCAAAAAGGTACATGTATTTATAAATAGTTGTCTATGCAAGATACTCAACATCCATCGGCCGGATATCATCAGCAACAGCCTAATGTGGGGGAGGACAAACAAGCTTACATCTGAAGAGGAAAAGACATTGGAAGTGGATAGGACACACATTGAGGAAATCATCAAACTGCATTACGAGGTAAGCCCTAACTTAGAATCCTAGAGAGAAGAGGAAGGCCAAAGAACACATTGCGACGGGAAATACAAGCAGATATGAAAAGGATGAATAACAACTAGAAAGGATTGCCTAAGAATTCTGATGGGCTACCTATGCTCCTTCACGAGGAGTAGCCGGCGTAAGTAAGTAAATCTTAACCTGTAATACAAATTATAAGAAAGAATTATCATCTTGCTAGATATATATTATTTACAATTTTAAGAAATATACAATAAGCCAATCTTTATTCCTCAAATTTAATTTTTTCGGTTTATGATGACTGGTATTATTATTATTATTATTATTGTTACATTGATCATCAGGTGGAATAAGTGCAGCGGAACGTTTAGCTTTTTGTCGTATTTTTGATATTTGATTTGATTTAACAATATTTGATTCCACTTTCAATCGTTTACGTTCAGCCTCAGCTAAGAAGTATGTACCTTTTTCTAGTTCAATATCAATTTTTGATTGAACTGGTGGTGGTGGAAATGGATTATATTCTTTTTTCTTACGTACCTAAAAGTAAAGACAGTAACAAAAAAATATTAAATCGATGATACACTCAATAGAGATTAAGCATATCTTCTTAATGGTGAGATCTATAATCTATTGAACGAACTTTGAAAGACGTCAAAGTAATCTTGAGAGTGAATACCTACTTACTTGCTAACCGGTGTTGGAGATGGTTGGAAGAAACTTAGGGGTAGCCAAACCAAAACGTGGCATCAGTCCACAAAGTCACTAACTTCTAGTCTGAGCCATGTTGGTAGATGCAAACTACTTGGTTGGGGTTCGCGTGACCATCGTAACCAATGGTTAGAGACTCTTGGTGACATGGCTCAGAATCGATTACAATGGCGTAGGTGTATACATTATCTGTCTTCCCTTAAACTGAGAGATTAAAATCGCTTCATATCTTTCTTTCTAAGAACCAATTCTTTCTTCCTGTACTATATCCTTATATGCAATTTTTCTTTTATATGTTACCACAAATGAATTAACTACTTTTATGAATCTGGTGTTCATCTTGTTGTGCTAATGAGGTATGGCAACTTGGACCGATGCATATATGTGCCTGGTCCTACATTGTAGCTGACTGACTGACTATCTTCTTACTACGGGTTAAACAAGGGTTATAAAGCAGTTTGAAGAATAAGCATTATGATTTCCAGTTGATGGTTATAGGTTAGGAATTAGATTCAGGGTTTATCATCACGAACTGACATTAACTATAATGCCAAATTGCTATTTAACCAAATGGATGAGTGAATTTGGCGCCAAAATCCAAGGCCTGTTATCGTAAATCTGATTGTTTCATTCATAAATTAGTCTCGCTATTAAAACCATAATATATAGATTAATATAAACGTACTTTGTGAGGTTTTCTACGTCGACTAAGCACTTTCTTTTTCATTTTAGGCAAAAATCGATCCCAGGATATATTTTGTTTTGTAGGATCCATAGAAAGTTTTTTTATGATAAGTAATTTTTTAATAGAATAAGCTGGATGTATATTGTCATAGATGCAACCTTGAACAATTTTACGTACCTTTATTTATGTAATAAACAACAACAAAAATATAATTAATCCAGATAGTATACTTATTTGAAACTCAATAGTATATATAGAGAAAATGAGTAAATTCCGACATCTAAACATTTTTTAACAGATCAAATATTTATTTATTTGAACACATAGATATTGGTACAAAGAGGCACCAAATACATATGCACTACACAGATCTCATTTGGTTTGTGTGAGGGCTGTGATACTGCCCGGGTGCTCAGACCGAAACAGGTGGTTTTCTTAGGGGCCACACCCCAAGCCTTCGGCCTGAAGATCTGATCCATAAGGCAGTGGAGCATCGTAAGAAGATGCAGTCCCATGGAAGCCGGTGACCAACAATTGGTTCATACGCCATACATATGCACTACACAGATCTCATTTGGTTTGTGTGAGGGCTGTGATACTGCCCGGGTGCTCAGACCGAAACAGGTGGTTTTCTTAGGGGGCCACACCCCAAGCCTTCGGCCTGAAGATCTGATCCATAAGGCAGTGGAGCATCGTAAGAAGATGCAGTCCCATGGAAGCCGGTGACCAACAATTGGTTCATACGCCATTTGTTCCCGAAGGATACTAGAGCCCATGTGCACCATTGGTTTTGAATCCGGTTAAAGCGCCGGACATTTGGTTTCCGTCCTCTTTTTCGTAAACAATACCCCCGCCACGAGAAGGCAGTGATTTGTGAATTGTAGCCTCTGTAACTGAGAATTTGATCTGTGTGGGTCGGCTTGTGATATACTTCAGTCTCCAGTTTCCCTGTGTCAGTTCTGGTGATTAATACATCCAAGAATGATAGTTTGTGATTTGGCTCCTTTTCGATAATATCATCGAAGACGTTGTTGATCAGAGTGTAGATTTTCCAGCTTTTCCGTTCTGACGATAACGAATGTGTCATCCGCATAACGATTCCAGATACTTGGCTTGATCACGGGTAAGATCGAGTCTTCCAGTCTCTACATCACTGCTTCTGCAATAAGTCCTGATATTAGTGATCCCATCGGTGTTCATTTCATTTGTTCGTAGATTTTCTTTTTGAATTGAAAATATGTAGTTAAGCATAAATCGACGAGTTCTAGTGAACGTGAACTTTGAGAGATTTATGTCGTTGGTGAGAAGCAAGGGTAGAGCTTACCTGCTAACCTTGGTTCAATTAAAGTGAATAAAGCTGTTAAATAAAAGGATATCGTCAACTCGTCGTTGTTGATTTGAATGTCCTTAATCTTATCCAGGAATTGCATAGGAAATTTGATGGAGATAACCTAACAAAAATACCCAATCACCATCGAGGTCTATATGACAAGCTATAAGTTATATGACCCCCAAATGCCCTGGTATGGCCGAGAGCGGGGTGGGCCCGCCCTTCCTCTCGAAATGCTTTCACACGGTCACGCGCACACAGCCTCTGCCAGGGAAGTCCTACTCAATGCCTTCTCATGACGGGGGTGTTGTTTACGAAAATGAGAGGACGAGAAGCAAATGTCCGGTGCTTTAACCGAATCCCAAACCAATGGTGCACATGGGCTCCAGTATCCTGTGGGAACAAATGGCGTATGAATTAATCGTTGGTCACCGGCCTCCATGGGAATGCATCTCCTCTCGATGCTTTAGGTCAAAGGCTCGGGGTGTGGTCCCCTAAGAAAATCACTTGTTTCGGTCTGAGCACCCGGGCAGTATTACAGCCCACACACACAAATATGGTGTGACGCATATATATTTGGTGCCCTCTTGTACCAATATTTATGTGTTGAAATACATATGTGGAGAAGTTCGAACATTTCACTTCCACATTAAATTTGTGCTGATATTGTTCAGGAAAACCATGAAGGTTCCACGACCAAACCATCCAGCTTATAGTACGAAACTCCACCTACGAGTCTTCCCCACTACCTCAAAATTATTTGAACGTAACGCGCTTATTGTTATTTGAAAATAGGAGAATTTTGCTGAAAGGCACGCCTCCACTCAAAAACTACTTCATTTTTTCCACAGGTTTCTTTGCCTGTATGTCCTGCCGACAAGTGTAAGGTATAGACCTCCAATCAACTGCCCAATGGAGTGGCGAATAGCTGAGCAAAGCGGAAGAAAAATTATATACCTAATGACAACTGATGCACACTATAAGGTCCACAAATATCAACATGTCACGAATGACCAAAAAAGGAAGACAACCTTTCTGGAGTCAAAAATTCCGAATTATCAACGTTAAAGTAACTATTCAAATAAACGAGATCACGGAGCTTATGTTCATATATCCAAACTAGAAGTGTTATGTCACCAGTGGAAAGTTACTTCACGCTGTGAAAGCATTTAAGTCATACTGCAGTCAGTATTTTAACACTTGTAATTTTCTTGATTTGTACAAATATCTTTACACCCCTTAAAAAGTTTATACTCGGAAATCTAAAGCAAAATAATAATATACTATAATAATACAAATTTAGATAAAAATTTTAAAGCAGTTATGCAATCAAGAGAACCCAAGTGGAAAACTAATTTTTCTCGAGTTAGATAGTACTACTACGTTTCTTGATTGTCATTCCTATGTGCTAGTTTTAGAATCTGGAGATAAATAAAGACAAAAGATTCATGAGTCACTCGTATAAGCGCTACCAATTGGCAATATGAATCCAATTATAAGATCGACTACAGTCACCATAGACTAGTGCATTTGCCTTTATTCTTCTGAGATAAGTGACTAGTGTGTGCTTGGGACTTCTGTAGTTCACAAACAAACGAAACAATCTAAAAATAACCATCACACCATCATCACAAGCCAGATAGAACAATACTGGAGTTAGCTATTTTTCAAAACCTAATGTTTATGACAGGATTCTCGATCGAATACACAATAATGAAAACTGACACTAAAGTTTGTAACTCAATGATTATGACTAGCTGCTCGATATACAGAAGTTTTTATCAACCAGTTAACAGGTTCATTAAGTTTAGATAACGATTAATTCTCGTTTGTTGTCGTTTACATTACTTTTATAAGGGTCTTTTGAGATTATGATTGTGACGTTAAAACTAATTAGGATTCAGATAATTACAATATTGCAGATACATAAAATAAGTAAACACACCTCCCTTAAATCGTTATATCGACCAACCACAGAAACAGTTTTTCCTTGCACAACTATATAACAGTTAGTAGACAGCTCCAGAGCTTTCAATGTTTCACCATCATGACCAATAAGCCGATTACGTCGTTTAACAAATCGTTCACGATTAGTCAAGTTAATTTCAATAATATCTGCGAATGTCTCGTCATCCAGAACACGAATAGCTTGCTCCATAGGACAGAACGGGCTAACAGGCGTATAACATCCCTGGCTTTTAGTATGATAAAAGGATCAAAAGTCTTTGGAGTTGTTCGAACTTCCATAGTACTTTCAGCCACATCTATCTCCACTCGAATATGCTGTTCATAGAATTAGAAATACGTTTCCATTACATGTAAATTCGGAAAAAAACAATTCATACAACAACTAGCATGTAAAATGTGAAACACAACAAACTGGTTTGAAGGATTTCGAAAGAATAGCACTCAAATACACAATTATGTTATACAATTCATTATATTTCGTCGCAATTGCTTAGGCTATATACATGCGTTATGGATCGAAAATTTATTTTTCAAATTCAAAATAGTATCCATAATTGCAATTAACTAAACATAACTATTCCTACTATAAAATACAGCATACAGGTATCGGAAAAACAGAAGACCACTTAATGCAAATGTTCACTCAGCACCCACTTAACCTTATCCAACAAGTTAGTAAACGACGATTACCTGAAAATCCTTAACATCAGACATTAGTTGTACTATTTTTTTTTCTTTTTGTGTCACACAAAAATAAGTTACAAACATGTGATGAATGGGATAAGAAGTGCACACACACATGCGCTCATATAAAAACAGTCAAGATTAATAAGCGAATAATTAACAAGGTCAAAATGTGACTCGACTAGAATGAATGGATTGACTTGTTTGAAAGCTAGAATAAGATATATGGACCAACACTACAATATCAGCTGACGAACAGGAAGCATGAAGTACGTATAATAGGCATAATAAAAAGTTCTATGTGTATCAGTCTTACATGTTCCATCATTATTCTTCTTAAGGCGGGCCAAATTTCGCTCAAGTACTTCTCACGATATTTTGGGAAGAGCGTTGTGTATGTTGACGAAGCAAACAATCTCCCATGAGGATTATCTTCAGGAGTAAACTTCGGCTCCTTCCAATCCTTTGGAACTTCAGCATATTTTGGCTCCGAAACCTCTTCATTTTCTTAAGAAAATACTTCGAACATGAAACTTGAATAACTAACTTTTTGCAGAAAATGCTTTGTATGGGACCCATCCCTGAACCTTTGGAAAACTGAGTTTCTGCTTATTGGTTTTTTTGCCCATAGTATTTCACGTACATGCTGCTAGTTATTTTTGGCGACGAGATGATAGTATTGATGAAACAAACCGGACAACCTAACACCGAGACAGAAAATCCAGCCGCCGTGTTAATAGTAAGCGACCTAGAAGGAATAATTCCCACACCACGATTAATGTCCAATACCGAGTAATTATTTCTATCGTTTAAGTAAACATAATTTTTTTTAATTGATTGTGATTATTTTATCAGAAATAGCTATATAGTCACCTAATGTCAGTCTCACCACCCTATCGTAATTCTCCAACCATAAGAATTGTTACATAACTATGTAATTTTTTCCAAACTTCGAACTGGTCAGTTCAAATGGTTTGGATGGTTCTGGACGGAAAAAAAAATTAATACTATCGGACTTCCGTATGTAGTAGCAATGGATCACGGATGCGCTCGGGTAAGAACCTAGGTATACTGATGATAAAAGATGAAAAAGGAAAATTTGTATTTTATAGTGAGGTACTGTCCCAATTCCTTAGAAACCACCAATTTCTCTCTTAAATAACTCCTGGGTAGACTCTTGAACTAACTCAACCGGTGGCGAGTTATAACCTTTGACTACTCTTAAGGAATAGACTGTGTGTCTACAGTCCGTTCTTCGGTGTTGTCACCAAGTTCTCGGTGTTGCTCTTAAGGTTTATGTTGGAACTGAGATTAGGTAGTTATTTAAGAGGATGTCATAAAGTGTTGGGAATGCTATTAGTCATTAGGTCACTTCTAAGATGACTGTACTTCAATGAGTATGGGTCTAGTGATTGAGGACACCCTTCTTAAGGCTTGAATTTGAGTCCCCGGACTGATTTGGATAGGTTTCAGTGTTTCTTTATCTTTTGGGAATGAGAGGCAAAATATTGCTACCGTATTCTTAATGACGTCGGGTAAAATTGTTGAAGATGAGGCTGAAATTTTTCCCGTCGGACTGGCCGAAAATGCGCTTCAGCTTAACCAATGCAAGATTTGCTCGAAAGGCATTTTGTGGCAGTCATCGTAATACTTCAGATCATAAGATGCCAACACTCCTAGATCTTTGTAAACTTGCAGTACCTCCAGAGTAGAGCTGCCCAAGTTGTAGCTGTAGTCTGCAACGAATCTCAGATCATTACTTTGCACTTTGAAGTGTTAAGAGTAACTTCGTCGTCATCTGCCCAACTTTGAAGTCGAGCCATATCTCCGTGAAGTGTTAGTTTATCTTCTTGGTCGCGAAATCCTCTCCAGGATTTTACATCATCAACGAAAAGTAATAAATCTGACGACACCTGCTTGAAAGTTCACCATGTCGATCTCCTTTGGAAATTGGTGTGATATGAACCACCTTCCAATATTCTGGTGATTTGCTTCGACTAAATGAATGTGAGAACTTCAGCTAAGCGGTGTTACCAAGACTGGAACTGACTCCCTCAGCATAGCAGAATCCTTATTCGTCCATTCAATCTGTTATATATATATATATATATATATATGTTAACTTGAGTATGTGTGTATGGTATAACTTGTGTGTTTTTATATTTGTTCATATATGTCATGATTACAAATGTGGAATTATGTTTTGATAAAATTGAGCGGTGCTGTTTGCAATCTTCTACTCGGGTTTCTTATGAAAAGTTTTAGATTTGTGAAGTAGGAATAAGATGCATACGTCCTATGTTAGTCTTTTTCTGGTATGGTTCTGTGTGTGCCTAATCTTCTGCTGAATGAGTCATTTGAAGTGACAGATAACACTTCTTCGTGTAGCATGTTCTAAAACCTGATGACTCAATGTGAAAATCTGCATGTCACGGGTGTTTTGTTTGTCCTTGGATTCTTTGCTCGCTCTTTATGTCCCCTGGTAGGGAGAAAGAGAGGATAAATCATGTCCGAAGTCATTTCTTAGTGTTCTAATATTCAAATCAAACCACTTGGTCCACTGGTACGGGCACTTCTCCTATGCTGTACCTATATGCCTTTGTATCCACAAAGTGAGTGTAGACATACTTGACCGTGTTGATAGGCACCATCCAATCCTTCTACCAACTAATCACAATATTTTAGTCTGCCTGAAGTGCGCAAGCATCTCCATCTCCTATTATTTCTCGGCAGGTTTTTATATTGTCAGAGTATATCAGCATTTGGGACTCAACTATAGTTGAGAGTTTATTTAAGTACAATATAAAAAGTAAACGATCTAGGAAAGAGACTTGCGGTACTTCATTAGGTACCTGCTTCCACGTGGGGCACCTAGAATTTATTCTTACTCCTTGTCTACGACCTGCCCAGAAACCATTTGTCCACTTGATGAGAGGTTTTTGATATCTAGCTTCTTCAGCTTCAAGAGGAGTCTACTCTTTGGCAACCTATCAAACGCTTTGCTGAAGTCTATGTAGACAAGATACATTGATTTTTCATCGTCTATTGCATTTATCCATCTCTCCCTTGCTATAAGAAGGTCTGTTGTGCGAGATAAATCTTTTCTGAAACCCTGTTGTTAGTTTCCACAACTGTCATCATGGTACTCTCGACTACTGTTTCCAGTATTTTAACTACAACACTGGAGAGGCTATGAGGTCCTTAGTTTGGTGAGTGTTGTATTGATCCTGCTTTACGAATTGGAGTGATAACTGAATCCTCACAGTCCTTAGTGACACATTCAATATCGTGGTCAATTGAGCAGCAATTTGTCTTAAAATGTTAGGCTGTAGTTCGTTCAATCCTGCTGTTATGGAGTTTGCTTTGTCTTGATCTTCTTTTTTATTTTGAGACACATCCTCTTCAGTTATTAGGTTGGGATTTCAATTGTCTTTTCTTGTCCTGTGATTTATTTAAGAGGACAGTCACTTTAGCTGTGTGATTGGAGATTGCGCTAACTGCTTCTCATATAAAAAAATTATCCATGAACAGCTATCATCATTTTTACCTTCCGCTAGACTGATTAGGTCATCTCATAATGGGTTCATGACTGAACGCTCATGTTCCACATCGCACTTAAAATTTACTGGGCAAATTACTCAGAGAAGAGATGTTGGTCAGTCAGTCATAATTATGTACTTCGATTTTAGTAAGGATTACGATATTGTCTAACACAGTTTTCTTCTTCTAAAAGCTTCTTCCTTTAACACAAAGAATCACCTTTTATCATGGTTCAAATATTTTTTAACAGAATGTAGTTAATTCGTTTACTTTGAATCTTGATACTCTAAACCTGTGAGTGTAGCCAATCGGGTTAATCAAGAAAGTGTGACTGAACCATTACTCTTTCGCCCTTTCATCAATGACGTGTACTCACTCTTTCAGCATGAAAAACCTTTAATTTTGCCGATCATCCAAGAGAGGTTCACTCATTCTCATCTCTTATATAAAAAAGTGTATTTCACTGGCAATCCAAAGGGTTATTAACAAGTTATGCGAATAGACTGTGTCGTGGAATCTGGCACCGAATGTTGATAAAAGTGGATTAATCTACTTTGCATACAGCTCTAACCTATATCTGGCTCTGCGCACGCACACACACACACACCGAAACCTCTCAGCACTGTTCAAGACTTGTGTTTGAGGTGTAGCGACACTGAACGTTCCCGAGAACATTGCATTTCAAGTATCCAAAGCAAGAAAGCTCATTGGAATCATAATGGTAAATTCCGATAACATGGAATTGAGATTATTATTATTATTGTAGAACTAATGTATCCTATCTGTCCCTAAATATAGTATTCTAGTTTACAGTAATTGCAGACATAATAACTTGATGAAAATTGAAAGTGTTCAAAAAAGACTCGCTAAAGCTGTTATGGGGTATTCCAACAATTAGGATTACCACCAAAGGTGTCTACAAATTGAGTTAGGACCTCTCTGAACCAGGCGCATTACATCGAACTCTGTCTTCACTTACCGGATTGCAAATGGCATTCCATGCTTTTCGACATCGACCCCTTCGTACTCCATTATATCATCGCAACAAAGAGGATATTCTGTCGATTCCGAGAACCTACACAAACTTACGCCACAATATTTCGTTATTCGCTACTCAGCCATGTGGAACAGATTACAAGTGAATCTCCATTGCAGTGTAACTATAACCCGAATCACAAGTCGCCTTGATGACTTTCTTTCCGAAAGTGGTTTGTGTCATATTCTAAATGCCAATGTGATTATCAACGAATATATACAAATATTGACCTTCAGCTATCTTACTGACTATAAAGCAAGGTAGAACATTTGGAACTTATCCTGTTTATATTGTTTTCTTTCTATTCACTTGATTATTTAAAGTCTATTCATTTTAAAATCTGATGACTGCTTATATTCATACTTATGATCCTTATTGTTACTGTCATCATGTCTGGTCATCCGACACATTAGATATTCTTTTCATCACTTATTTTTCCTCTTATCCTCTTTTTTCCTCCCAAATACATATTACCCCTAAACGTCCAAAGTTTATAACTAAAAACATATTACTTGTGTTACACTTAAATAAATTCACTTTTCAGATTCAATTTATCTTCAACACGTATAAATGAACCATTTTATTTGATATTTGATTATCCTTTGCAATTAATAGAGATTTTCATAGCATCATTCCAAACTATTACTCCACAAACACTTATCCTACTGTCGAATCCTCTTGCATTAATTATTTCTTCTAGTTTACTTTTTTTAATCTCTTCTTCGCATTGTTTATTTGGTAAAACGTACGCAATCACACATTCTTCTTCTTTTGACAAATACTTATTAAACTATTTATCTACATTAGTTTCAGTTTTGAAGGGACAGGAGGCTTGATGGCCTGTGCTAGTCCTGGTGATGACAGTCTCTCAGTTGATTCAAATTTCTTTTGAAAGAGTCTACGGGTGGAGCCTCAACCACAAGCTGAGGTAATGAATTCCACTAGTTGATAATTCGATGGGAAAGTTGATGGTCAGCTGACAAGTAATTTTTTCTGGGCTTGTGAAATTTATTGGAGTGTCCTCGCAAATTCTCTGTTTTGGTAGGCAAGAAA